TTTTGAGCCGTTAAATTGAGGGAGGGGAGAGGGTCACGTGAGAAGTAAAGAGGGTAGGTGGTCATTGGACACGAGAGTTGCCAGCTGTAGCCGCCATTTCCACTGGTCCAACCCAACCTCGCATGCAATATTCATTTTTTTTTTCCTGAACAACAATATTGTTTTTTTTTTTGCTAACCAACATCAATATTGTTTTTGTTAAACTGTGGGAGTAAAAACAAAACAACAATATTGTTAGTAAAAGTAAGGAACTTTTTTTGTAAAATGCACCATCAACTTTAATTTTTAGAAAATTAACTTAAGCTTTGATTTTTTAAAAACTGATTATTTTCTTATAAAACATTTCTATCTCTATTAAAATTTTAAAACTACAAAGTATGTAAAAGAATGACATCTTTATTAATTTTAATTCTATATTTTGTGGTAAACATGTTATAACAAACGTGTTTATCTCTCATGTTATTTAAATCTTGATATAATTATGCATATTCTATTGATAAAATGTTTTGGTTTCTATTCTTAAATGAATTCTAAGCAAAAAAATTACATTTTTCTCTTACTTTTCATCTATAAAAAATACTAGTATTCTACATAAAAAAATACTAGTTTTAGTTTGTGTTGTATGTTAAGACAATATTCAAGTTGTTAAGATAGTTTGTGTGTTTTGGTTCGTGTTTGATGTTAGTTTTGGGTTGTGTTTGTTTAGAGTTTGGTTTATAAGTCATTACCAATGACAATGAATGCAAAATACAAAAGCCGGAAGCAATAGTACATTACCAAAACACAAAAGGCCGAAATACCATTAAGAAAGTAACAAAATTATGATAAAAATAGAAGCCATAGTACATTACCAAAGCGCAAAAGCCAATACCATAAGCCATTAGCTAAAGTCACTAAGTCATTACCGTAACACAAAAGCCATAAGAAGCAAACCAAAAACATTCCTAATTGCATCTTATGCAACCGAAAAAGATCCTAGAAACAGTCCTAAAGTTGAGTGAGAGTCTCTTGAAAAAATTGACTTAAAGTCTCTTGAGAAAGTTGACTTAAAGTCCCTTGAGAAGTTTGATGAGCTTTTGATGTTTGGAAGAGTCTCTAACTACCTTGAGTTCAATTACTTTGAGAAATTTGAGAAGATTGACCTGGAGCAGTTTAAAGAAAAACAAAAGAAAAAACCAGTTTAGCTACACCATCATCACAAAGATAAAAATAGTAGTAACATCACTAAATCCCGAAAACTATTACCTCTTTTTCTTTGCGAAACCTAGAATTGTGGCCTGGTTGTTGACAAACTCCACAATGCATGATTCTTTTCATAAGGGATTTCTGAAACCTCTTACATCTGCAAGTCCTATCCGTTAAACTAACTTTATAACCACAACCATGAAGAGCCACTTTGTATGTGTTATTTGTAATCCTAGTTACCTTGCACATATATGCTTCCTCATGCAATACTTCAAGGTATTCACCTACATACGGTGTGCATATACAGT